CAGGAGGGCTCGGCGGCGCGGCCTACGCGCGGCCCTGGCGCGGCCGGAAGGGCCCGGCCCCGGCGCCCCTCGGGGCGGGTGAGCGCCTCGCCGCAAGCCGGCACTTCCTGCCGGTGAAAGGGGAAGTCTGGTCCGTGCAGGTGGTGACGATACAGCGTCAGTAAAATTGAGGATTTTAAGTACGTGGGAACGTATCATGGCTCACTAGTGGCTCAGCGGGTTTGTGGGGCGTTAGGTAACGCAGCAGCGCTGTGTCTGAAGTCTCTGTAGATGGGTAACTGGTATATGTGTGTAAATCCAAGGTAAAATATAAAATTTTATGTCTTTAATTTCTGTTGTCATTTATACACTCTAAAAATGCCACCCAACCTAATAGCAGACCGTTACATTACTTATAAGTATGTGCACGGGCTGTTATATAGCTGTGGTGGTGACAGTTATGTGGGGAAGGTTGAAGAGCAGCCCTGTGTAATGAACTAAGCTTTCATCCTGCTCCATCCCACCTGAGTATATGAGGGCATTTCTTAAAATTTTGGAATTGTAGTTAGATTTCTTTACAGTGACAAATAATAATATCTCATCTATCACAAGGTTCACATGAAACTCTTCAAAGAACAGATGAGGAATGACATTCTGTATTTCATCCACAGGCAAAACTGCTATCTTTGCTCAGCGCAGATCTTGCCCCAGTCTGAAATGAATTGGTCTTCCACTGAATGAAAGAGAACAGAAGAGAAAAAGTCTGGTCTTGCAGAAGAGGCAGGTGCTAGTATGGAATGGTGAGTGTTGGATTTGTGCCCATGACAGTGTAAAATGAAATTTTTGAGAAGTTAATTGTAGCAAAAATTTCACTCATTTTAATCAGAAGGTGACTGTGAAGCATTTTTTCTTTTTTTTTTGGTGCAATGCAATGTGTAAGGCATCTTTTTACCATGTTGGGAATTTGCAGGATAGCTAGAGCTATGCTTAAGATATACTAAATGCTGTAAAAATTGCACTTATTAAAAAAAAACCCACTATGGTTTGCATATTTCAATTGTGCACTCCTTACACTTTTTAACAGCAGTTTTTTCTGGATTTTAGTTGCTTCTCTGTAAAATATGACAACCTGTTTGCATAAAAGTATTATGAAACTCAGGTTATTAACAATGAGGGACTCTGATACAGAACTAGCAGAGCATTTTAAATGAACGCCCATGAAGAAACTTCCAGTTCTGGAAACTTGATAGAAATGCAAAAATCTTTCCTTTCACACAGCCTCCCTAGAACAAAATATGCTAAAAATGAGTCAACTGTAATACAAACTTTTATATAAAGACTTAAGTTTATGTGCTTATTTTGAATTTATCTGCATATACTAAAGGTCTGTTTAAATTAGTTTGGTAATGAGGTGGTAACATTTACTGGGTGTAATAATAAACCACTTTTGTAGCCATGTCAGTTCTTATAAAATTTTAACTTTTATTCTCAGAGTTTTCAGTTTTCTGATCATTGGCCTGAAGATTTCTTGTGTCATTTTCTGCCTGCAGAGGAAAAGTAGAATTTATGGCATTGTCATATAGCTTCTTTGTATCTCTATGAGTCTACCAGTTGTCAGCGTTATAGTCTCCATATCCAGGATCAAGTTTCCATAATATTCTTTGTTTGGGTCAGCTGTGTTGCAGAGCATGGGCTTGCTAGTAGAATTTTTATCCTGGCTGCTACACTCTAAAGACAACTGAGCGTGACTTTTTACAATTAACCAAATGAAGTGCAAGAGAGTTGTTTCTAACTGGTGATGGTGCTATGTATAAATTCCTTACTTTTAATGCCCTACCAATTATTTAGTATTTGGTAATTGTGATTTATTTGTTCTGGTTCAGGTTGTAAAGTTTGAGATCAGTTGGGGCTTATTTTCTTCCCTTTTCTCTGCACCATCTCATGTACAATTTAAAATGTCACAGCAGACACTTCAAATGCAACCTGCATTGTGCTTCTTTGCTCAATGGCCACCCCTCTTTAAAAAGGTCACCTTCAGTAACAGGCCTGACAGTTCCTAGTACTACAGAAAAAAACTCCACCCTTTCAAACATTGAAGAGTCTTGCGGCCATTGTACCTGATAGCTGTTTTGAATGTACACGTGCTGATTGTGCGGAGGTTGATAGCAGGTGATCACTCCTTGTGCATTTACTTGGAACTGTGAATCAGATGTTATTGTTGATGTGGATTCTCTCTTCTTTTTCACATTCTTCTTCCTCCAGTTCATTTGTGACCTTGAAGCCTGTCTTCAGTTTTCAGATGATCAGACTCTTCATTTTGGTTGACAGCATGGTAAGTCCTGGCTATCATCTGTATTTGCCAAATATCATTATGTTTTTACTTTGGTAGGAGCAGTTCCCAACATCTTTTTCTTATTGCTATGGAGTACTCATTTTAGATGCAAGAGGCAGTTATAGAATGCCTCAGGCTGACAAAACATCTCAGAATAATTTCCTGTATCTCACGAGGGGCATCAGAACAAGCACTAAAAGCCAATTCTAAACCCTGCTTGCCAGCCATACTTGCATTAGACTTCAGCTTGGGTTTAGTCATCAGCTGACTTTTAATCTTCTCTCACTACTTCTGGTATTAAATAGATTTCATTAGTTGTCTGAATTTCTTCTGTATTTTTATCTATACGTTTTGTCTCGTGTGGGACTGATATATGCATAGATACAAATTTTTATTCAAACATAGTTGCTAAAATATTCCAGAATATTTTAATTGGTTCATTTCCTCTGTTTCAGACCAAAAAGCTGAATCAGCAAATATTTAAGGGCTTTGATGTTGGGAAAATAACATTCCTGTGAGGAGAATCAGAATTGGTAAATGTTTAAAGAGGATGACTAAACCTTAACTACTGCTGTAAAATTCTACTAACAATAAAGCAGCTAATAGAAGTTTTAGTGAAATTCTGCATAGTCCTCTATCACAGCTACTAGTCTGAGTAACAGTCTGTGCCCTTTCAGTATTATTTTTATGTAATTTTTATTGGTGGTAACATTACTTGAAGTAGAAACTGATTTTTTTTATCTTAATGTTAGCTAGATATTACTTTGACAGAACTTAAATGAACTGTGGAACAACTGATAAAAGGTCTTGAACCCATTCCTTTCATGTTCTTCTAGTTTATTCTTGCAGAGGAGCAAAGAAGTCCTTGTGCAAGGAATGGGCCCTCCAGAAAGAACAGACCTAGTCATTGTAAGAGATTCTCATTCCCAGAGTGTTTTAGTATCTCTGGGTCTACTGAATTGACAAATTACCAGTAAATTTTCAGTTGAGGGATGATTAAGTACCAGCTGTACTAGTTCCATGGTTAAGGGCAGGACATCATACAGGAATTTGCATAATTTGAAAAAAATCCCATAAAGTAGCACAGATGATTGCAATTTCACAGGTCACATTCATGAAACAAATGGGAAACAAAGTACTCCACGGTAGTTTCAGTTGTTTTGGATGAATTTTCTGCTGACTTGTATATACCTGTACCATCTCTTAATTTTAAGGTATCTCAAGTATAAAGAATGGCTAATATTACAAACTTTCACTTTTTAGACTGTAAGGCATTTATTATGTAAAAAGCATTGAAGTGATTTGTGTCCTTTCGGTGATATATGAAATCACCCTTTGTGTTAAACCGCTTTTAGTTTTGCCATCCTGAAATTTTATTATGAGCTACTGCACTACAGCAAATCAAGTTATTCACAGTTATTTCAGTCATTGTTCTGATGTCTGCCAATAGATGGAAAGCATTTCATTTCAGTTGTTTTGTTTCTGATAATTCATATTTTACAGCTGTGTTCATACTGTCTACTTTGACAAGTCTGACTGGATATTACATGATGTAAAACTTCCAATCTGCTGCCAAAAGTCTGAGTATAAGTTGCATACCAACTGTTTTCCTGTTCATAAAATTTGTTTTCTATTAGCAGCCTTAAACTGTTGTCAAAATGAGACTACATAAACTAATTAGTGGGGAATTCATGGGTGTGGTGTAAACCTGAATCCTTTTCAGGACCTCCTAGGTGTCAATGTCATGAAAATATCCCTCATTATCATAGTAATGTATAAAAAAATTTAGAACAGGAATTAGGGTGTTGAAATTTTATTTTTTTTTTTTTAGTGTCTGACAGGCATATTTTTAGCTTCTTTCCATATAACCTAGAAGCTTTGGTCTGTATAACAAGTCCATGTCAGAATGATTCCTGCTATTACTAGATGCATTCTTTCTGTTAAAAATTCGTCATTCCTCCACTATCTCTCCTCTGTTCTACACTATTTTGTCCCATTAGTCTGGACTGGCAGTACTCCCACTTCATTATCATGTTGCTGAATGGTGAGTACCTTCATATTTCAGCCTGTTCATTCTCTTCTGATCCTCAGGCAGCTACTTCTAATAGTAATGTCTGTCTCTTAGAAACTCAAACAATTGAGTATGCTAGTGACTGTTTATATGATCAAATGGTGCTTTGAACTTTCTACCCCATTTACTGATATATCATGTTATCGCTTTTATCAAGATTGAAGCTTATCCACATATTTCAGTATATTCATACATATAATATTTTTGTTTAGTTACCATGTTCTTACTTTGCTCTAACCAATTCAAAAAGAATAT